GGGGCAGCATTTTGCCAGACAGCCTAGTTAATCCTGGCACTTCTCTCCGCAGGAGCCAAGAACCTGTACATCATCTCCGTGAAGGGGATCAAGGGGCGTCTGAACAGGCTGCCGGCGGCTGGCGTGGGCGACATGGTGATGGCGACCGTCAAGAAGGGCAAGCCAGAGCTGAGGAAGAAGGGTGAGTGCGGAGAGGAGTGCTGGGTCCCGCTGCACCAACAGGCAGCTCCTGCTGAGAGCCTGCCCGCACCGTAGCGTCCCTCCTTCGGATGGAGAGAGACAGGCCACTCGTCCAAGGGGAGGACAATTCCTCCTTCAAATTGGCGCAGAAAGTGGGCACCGAATCTCTGGAGCGTCACCTCCACCCTTCTAAAAAGCACTTGCTGGGTCTGGGCGCAGTGGCTCAGTGAGTTGTCGTGGAAGGGCAGAGCAAAGGCATCGCTTTTGGGTGAAGTGGCAGCCTGTGCTGTTTATTTCAATCAGCGGTGTGACATTCTGCTTTGGAAAAACACATTTGGTGCCGCTCTGGCAGGGAAGGGGGGATGTTCTTGCTGAATATTGTCTGCGAATTGGTGGTATATTTAGAAATAAAAGCAGGAAAGCGGAAAAATGCTGAACTGTCCAAGTGTGGATGCAGCTGTAAACGTTAGACAGTTTTAAGTGTACTCTTGACTATAAACTGTAGCTGTTAGCGAAGCACTGCAAATACGAGATGCAAAAAAACCTCAAACCCGTGCATTGAGTCAGATGCTGCAGCAGAACAGTTCCTCTGGGTATCTGTTGCTGGACTGTGTGCTTAACACGATGTTTGCGATACCGAGCCGCTCATTTCTCTTTGCAGTCCACCCAGCAGTGGTCATTCGGCAGCGGAAATCGTACAGGAGAAAAGATGGGGTGTTCCTCTATTTTGAAGACAACGCGGGAGTGATAGTAAATAATAAAGGTGAAATGAAAGGTACGGACAAGAGCCCTGTTGCACGGGGCGGAAGGGGAATGCAGAGAGGGGTGGTAGGTTGGTGTTCCCAGTTAGAGGGCTGCGCTGTCGTGGGCAAAAAGATCCAGATTCTCCTCAGACTCAGGAGACTGCAATCGGGCTGAGGTAGCGTTCGTGTAAAACGTTGCCCTGAACCATCTCTGCACCTACTCAGTCTTCTAATGCGCCATTGTCTTTTTCTGTTTTCCAGGCTCTGCAATCACAGGCCCTGTGGCTAAGGAGTGTGCAGATCTGTGGCCCAGGATAGCCTCCAATGCAGGAAGCATTGCATAAACGCGTTCATCTTCATAGAGATAAAATAAAAGTCCTTGTACCAAATAAGTAGTGTCTTTCTTGCCAAAGCGCCCTCCTCTCCTGAGCCAGGACGGTGTTACAATGAGGGACTTAGTTCTGGGAAACCTTTTCACAGAACTCTGTGCGTGTATGTATGCTTC